CCCCAAAACCCCAAAACCCCAAAACCCCAAAACCCCAAAACCCCATACACTCTTATCTTATTGAAATTGTGATTAGCTAAATTTTCATCAATTATTGGAACTGAGATTTAGGAACTGGGAACTTGGATCAAAACTCGCTAACCTCATCCTTGCATGCTAGAATTTCGGTAGCAAATTCTTCAGTCTCAAGTGCAGCGAAGAAGTCTTTAAGCTTCTTTCCTGCTTTCTCTTGGACTCTTGTTGAGATGTCAATAACTTTTTGGAAATAGTCTACTATCGTTTTCATATCTTCTTCCAACATTCCTCTGGTAGTCATGGCTGGAGTACCGACTCTGACACCTCCTGGATTCATTGGGCTCTTGTCCCCAGCAATGGAGTTTTTGTTAGAGTAAATATTAACCTTTTCAAGGACTGCTTCAACCTTAGATCCGCTTAAACCACTGGCTTTAACATTCCAAAGGATTAAGTGGTTTTCAGTTCCTCCAGTCATGATCTCAAATCCTTTTTCAAGCATGGCTTCGGCCATTGCCTTAGCGTTAGCAGTAACTTGCCTAGCATACTCATGATATCTCTCACTGCTGGCATCTTTCAAAGCAATGCAGAGAGCAGCGACCTGGTTCATGTGAGGACCTCCTTGATGTTGAGGGAAAACGGCGAAGTTAACCTTCTCTTCATATTCCCTCTTGAAGAAAATCATACCTCCTCTTGGACCTCTCAGAATCTTGTGAGTAGTTGTAGTTACGATATCAGCATACTCAAATGGATCTGAGAGAACTTTACCAGCTACGAGTCCACAGAAATGAGCCATGTCTACAAGAAGAATGGCTCCTACTTTGTCACAGACGTCTCTGAATCTTTTGTAGTCTAGGTCTCTTGAATAAGCAGAGTATCCAGCGATAATAAGATTTGGCTTGAATTCTTCAGCAATTTCTTCCATCTTGTCATAATCGATGAGCCCTGTCTCCTCGTTGATGAAATATGGCTTAGATTCGAAGTAGTAGGATGTAGCAGACACCTTCTTTCCCTTGTTCTCAAATCCATGAGAGAGATGACCTCCATCTTGAAGGTTCAGTCCCATAATCTTAGCATCTTTTCCTATTAAGGCTGTGTATACTTCGAAGTTAGCTGGAGTTCCTGAGAGAGGCTGTACGTTAACACCCCATTTTTCAGTATCTAAGTGGAAAGTTTCGAGGGCTCTCTTCTGTGCAAGTAATTCAACTTTATCAGCAAATTCTGTTCCTCTGTAATACCTAGCTCCAGGATATCCTTCAGCATACTTGTTTTGAAGAGGAGTTCCGAGGACTTCTAAGACAGCTTGGGATGCATAATTTTCACTAGCAATCAAGTTGATGCCTGTCTTCTGTCTGCCCTCCTCATCCTGGAGGATCTCAAAGAGTTCCGGATCAATGTCTTTGGTTGTACCTTCTTCAAAGAATAAAGTTTTAGAACTTTCCATTTCACTAATTTATAATTATATCATTATTTCGTTGCGTTTAATTCAGTAACAGGAACTAATGTTGGGGTTTTGGGGTTTTGGGGTTTTGGGGTTTTGGGGTTTTGGGG